TTTCTGAATTTCTGAATTTCTGAATTTCTGAATTTTCGAATTTCCGAATCTTAAAGATTTCGGAATTTCATGATTTCAATTTTTGCAAATTTCCCGAACAATTATATTTTCCGAACAAATATTAGAGTTACGAATCTCACGATAGAACCTCAGAATCCTAAAGTTTCTGAATTTTAGAACTTCAGTATTTCAGTATTTTAGTACTTCAGAATTTCAAAATTTCAGAATTTCAGAACTTTTGGAATCTCAGAATTTCAAAATCTCAAAATCATAAGTTTTTGGAATTTTAGACTTTTTGAAATTCTCTGATTTTTTTAATTTCTGAATTTCTGAATTTTCGAATCTCAAAATGTCTGAATTTTTTCTGCCCTCTGCCCGCCGTCTTTTCCTAAACCCTAATGATTCATTAATTATTTAGCGAACACTTTTTTCCTAAAAAAAATTATATCACAATTTTCTTTGTCAGCAAATTCACAACTTTTCTGTTCATCTGTTTAGTCACTCCTCTACAAGGTGTCGAAGCAGTGGCCGCGATCGGCCGCGGTCGGTCTGTCTTCAGACTTCTACTTCTCACGGTCGTTCTGTTTTCAACAGTAGTTCCAAAATCCTAAAAATTAGCTTACAGTTGTTATTCTAAGTTTCATATGTGTCACTTTATTAAACTAAAACGCTCTTCCTCGATTTTACACATTTTCCTACTCATAAACATTTTCAGATTCTAATCTAGTAGACAACCCCTAAAGGCCATATATAAGGATAGACACCGACCTCCCAGTTAATGCCATCATTTCATTTCGTTTTATGGCTTTTTCTTTGGCATTTTCTTCTTCTTTTTAACATACCGAAGAACACTCTAATACATAGAATCCTCTTTATAAAAAACAGTCAAGTTTGAGTCCAGATATCTCATTTCCTGTAAGAGATATCAAAAAGTGGTCAACTGACAAATTATTTCTGACAGTATAATTAACATTTTTTCAGTTTACTGTTTTTTGATATCGTTTAGAGGAACCGAGATAAGTTGGCTCAAAGTTAACGGTTTGGAAGAACTTCTCTTCATTTCACTGATCTTCCTCCACTTTGCCGTTAATTTCGATTTCCCCTCCGAATCAGAACTAAAAGTATGCATCCAATTTTTT